CCCGCCGATCGCCTATATGTGAAACACCCGGTAACGGGTGTGTGCATTTAGCGGGTCTTTTCTGCCCGTGCGTGCCCGCTAGGGGGCGCGCGCGAGCAGAAAAAAATTGCCGTCTGGAGACGGCAACCCGCAGATGCTGCAGTGCCGTCCGTCCGTTTTTTTACTACGGGCGGACGGCAAGAGGTTAACCATGCGGTGCCATGGCGGTTGGGGGGGGGCCCTTCATGGTTTCTTGCATCGGGGCCCTGAAGGTTCTAGTTACGCCTCTGTTGAAATCCCAGGACTGTCTGGCAGAAATTAGGATGCTTTGTTGGTATGCCAAAGTGTGGTAAATCTTGCCATTCCGTGTCCCATTCAAAAGATTTCTCCTAACTTCCTACAGGAACAATAGGAAGTGAGAGCAAATGGGCGCGGTTTAAGGGTAGGGTTGCCACCAGTTTGGTTTTGGAGTCTTGTGTCCGGATGTCCAGCCAGCGGGCACCCGGACACAAGACACTCAGTGCCGAACACCGGCATTTTAAATTTTCTGACAGATGCGTCTGTGGAGGTCTTTGGGAAGTGCAATCTCGGGCAGCTGCATCTGCCTGAACCCGGATCTTCCTCTGAGCTGCCAGAAGCCTGTATCTGTTTACAGGTGCCCGCAGCTCAGAGAGAGGGCTGGGTTTTAGGCAGATGCGGCTGCCTAAGATCGTGCTTGCCGAGGACCTCCACAGACGCATCTGTCATTGCCTTCTCCTCCAGTTCCCTGATATTGTGCTCCCCACCTGCGGACCCCTGGTGAGACACCATAGCCCATACAGCCCACCTGAGAGCCCGCACCGCCCCCACCAGGCCACGTGGAGACATCAGTGTGTCAACACAACACAGAGTATGTAGCTTCATATTATTTGATATTGCAGTATAATGTATTGCTGGGATTTGTAGTCCTATCTAGCTGGTCTCCTCACTCCCTCCCCTGGCTGCCTCTCCTCTATAGTCTAAACTATTTTTTTTTTATTCCCGCGTGTGGCGCTAGAGTGTTCGGGTTTCACTTGAAGAAAAGGTGGCAACCCTAGGGGTGGGCCTTCATGGTTTCCTGCACCGGGGCCCTGAAGGTTCTAGTTACACCTCTGGTCACTACTCTCCAGAGGTATTCCCCCTCCACTTTCTGCTTCCCCAGCCCTAGCTGGAGCTACAGACAGGGGATAAGGTGGGCTATAACTAATTCTAGTTGTAAATATTAGCTACACTTTAAATCTGCACATCACAACTCCTAAAATGGATTTTTCAGTAACTTAAAGTCTACTCTACATGAATAAACTCCTGACATGATGCAATATTTACCAATGATACATTTAGAAAACATCTGTACCTTTTATCCATCCAGGCTCCCCTTTCCAGGGGAACCCCACACCTCTTGAGCCCCCTAGCAGTATTTTATGCTTTTTTTGTATACTTGTACATTC